GGTTTGCGTCTTCTAGGGGTTGTGTTTGGCGAAGTGCCTCATCTTCTGGTCCTCCCCTGGTCCGTGCATTGTCAGGGATGTATCCACTTTTTTCGTTTTTCAATTCGTGTCGTCGTCTCATTGTGTTTTTTCTAATTCCGGGTGTTGAAATGAAATTGACAAATTTTTGTTTATTTTATAAATTTGTCTGCTCCTTTTGACGAGTGCAATTGATCAAGTGATTGTTTTCGTTCTGACTTGAATGACCGCTTGTGTTTTGCTCGGAATGTTTGACGTGCCTTGACGTGACTTAGCAATTGAGTTGTTGCGTTCCTTTTACTTTCCGCGCGCTTTTTGATCAGCCGATGGGGAGCTCTATTCTGAGATGCCAAGTTGTTCAATATGACATTATCAATCAATATAATGTTTGCAATGGAGGAGTTATTTGACGCAACAACAAATTCCTGGTTGTAATCGCTGGGGGTTAGCGCTAATCCTACCGAGTTTGTGAACGTATTGTTAATCAGTCACATCTTTGTTCCTCCTATATGTTTGATATCGAATGTAAATGGTATCAGTCTATCGATCAATCTAGTAAGCCTACCTTGACTAGTCTTTGGTCGTTCGCTGACGTTCAACGCGTTCATCAAAGCTTGATTAGCTGTAATTACTGTGAAGTTTTTCTCGTAGAAGTAGTTTTTGAAATGATTGATTGCTCAAACAAACCCTAACAATTCGAATTCGTTCATCGAATATTTCTCCTCTAATGAGTTTGGAAATTTTGAAGCATATGCAATTGGTACCCAACCTGTGCCTGGGTTTTGCTCTAAAGCAGCCCCTAGCCTAAAATTAGAGGCACCGCAAACTACTCGAGTGTCTAAATGTTGGTTGAAAGGTTTGTTTTCAGTAATTTCAGATACAAGTTTCACAATATTATGGAATGCAGATGTATGTTCCAGCTTCTAATCTAATGTTTTATGTTTGTCTGATTTTTTAGCAGTGGTTTTAGTGTCGATGCTTTTCTGCGAGGTTTGGAATGTATCGAGTGAGGTTTTGTTTTGACCCCATGAAACTTTTTAATTGTTTAAACGCTTTTGGTTGTGAGAGCTTGAGGATTGCTGCTGTGTTTCGTGTTAGTGGTATTATAACTTCGCTACTTATTTTATAGCCCAGCCACTCGACTTATTCGCATGCGAATTTGCATTTCTCCAGTGAGATAGCTAAGTTTTCATCCATTAGTTTTTTCAGTACCTTATGTAATAATTGTTTGTGTGTATCTTTTGAACCTTTTGTTACAATCATTATGTCATCGAGATAAGCAAACGTGTTTTGAAAATTTGCTGGTGTGAGATCTTTGTTTCTTATATTTCTGCCTGCATATCCGCTAGACCATACATTTTTTTTAGAATTGGTATGTTCCTGTCGCTTTTCCCCCTATCACTCTGAAATTACCCTGGTCTTTTGTTTCCTTATCCTGTAGAATTTGTGAATATACGTATCGTAGATCGAGATTAAAGAAGAAGTTGTGCCGCGTGTCATCCGCTTCGATGATTTGTGCAATGTTGTCCAATAAAATTTCAACATTGGGCATTTAGTAATTGTTTTTTTTTAATGAAGTTATCGAGTTTCTTGGGATCGCGCAAGTTTGACTGTTTGGTCCTTTTTTACCGTTATAACGATCAGACTGATGAATTGTTTGTCGAAGCAATTATCTAAATCCTTGATATGCTTTTGATCTATTAGTTTATTCAGTTCCGTTTCCACTATTTCTTGTAGATGAATGGGTATTCCATGGCCTTTTTGTTGGATCGGTTTAATCTTTTGTACAAATTGAGTTCGCATTACGTGATTCTTCGATTTCCCGATTCTCACACAAAGTTCTTAGAAATTTTCAGGCTGCGACATCCCAGGCTGCATCTTGCGGTGGGATGAGTTGAAATATTGGGGAACGATCGTTTCTTCATATTCTTTGTGCCATTTTTTTGTTGAGAAAAGACATGGGCTTCCAGAACATGCAATGGCGAAGACATCTTCTGAGCGTTTTTTGAGTTTTACTATATGTCCATTGAGATCTTCTTTTATGTTAACTGGGTTTCGGATTTCAAATGTTTCTGATGTCTCCAACACGTAAGGTTATCTTGAGGCCTCCCTACCGTGTGTCGGCATGAATTCAGCGTAGGCCACTGGGTCGTTATTGTCTTCTGCGGTGGTGGAATCCTCCTCTTCGTTGTCTTGTTGACTGCCTGTTTCTTGCATGTAGTTAACATTTATTCAGTTACATAATTTTGCAAAATGGCTTAGTTTGGCTTATTTAGTACAATCTTTGTCTTTCGCTGGGCATGACATCAAATTGTTTGATTCAAATTATCTGCCAGAATAATAGCAGGTTTCGTTTCGATTTGTTTGTTAGTTTTGTTGCCCCTTTGGATTGCAGGTTCCTCGGGAAAATTGTTTCGACCTCGCAGATTTCCCCGACCTCTTTGGCTGTTTTCGTGCGCTTTGTTTTGATTACCACCTCTCCCGCGTGGTTGAATGTAGCCCATCGGTTCTTGTTTCATTGCTGTGTTCGGGGTTGTTTGAGCTTCAAATGGGTTTGTTTTCGTCGCTTTACTATGTTATATCCCTTTCTTTCACCTGATTGCATAATCGTATGCATCTTGTGGTGATCTGGTTTCTGCCTACAGTTCTTCTGCAATGTTTTCGTTGGACACGTGGGCCGTAAAAATATCAGGAACCCATTCATCTTCTCGCTCTCCACAAAGAGCCCGAGAAGCCAGTTCGACCAGATCCGCATGAAATAGCTGAAACGTCTCATTTTTTTGTTGTTTCCGACAGATAAAATTGTGCCTTTCGAAATCTATGACTCGTGTGATTACGAATAGTTCTTCTAATATTCGCATTAGTTCTTTTGCAGTTGATGTTTGGATATCGAGAGGTGGTCGCTTTTGTTGCAGTTGTCTCTGCCCTTCTGCTACAAGACATTAGAATATATAGCTTCTGACTTTTGCGTCTGCGTCATCCCATTTCACATTGTTACAAAGTACACCTTTTTCACTGCTTTTTATCGCATTATTCTCCCAAGCAACTCGTTTTTCTGGATTTATGATGTGTCTATTACGTTTTTGTGCTTCCGTTTCTCCAGTGATCCCATCCTCGTCGGTCGGTTCCGTTCATTCTTGCACGGGAGGTTTCGTTCTTAATAAATTTTTTACCTCTATTCCATCTTTGGAAAAGACAGTCATCTCCATCATTGCCGCCCACTTTGATCATTCCAGTGGTGGTTCTAAAGATGCCTTCACCAGAAGGGTGAAATACTCAACGGGTTTTTGTATCATGCTGGCTGCGCCATGTCATACCGTAACGTATGAACTCTCTATAGAATCCAAACAGATTGGCTAAGGATCTCTAAGTAATGTTGGTTGAGAGAAAGAACTCAACATAAATATGAATTCACTTCAACTGAACATTAACGCTCAGCCATGTGGTCTTGCTTATCAACAGTCAAGGCCATCAGTCCGGTTTATGATAAGATAAATAATAAAAGTTCACATTAGAAACAGATATAAAAATACTTGGTATTTGTTCATTCCAATCCGGCCGGATGACAACGAGTTTACCAATTGAGCAGGAGACGAGCTGCTCTTAGTAAAAACGGAAACCACACAACGCCTCGATTGAAAATTGAAGCATCCCCGATTGAAAAAAAAATGTTTTGATTAAAAATTCAGCATGTGAGGTGAATAAAAACGAGCCCCTGACAAAAACAATGAAAATGAGGTGAATAAGGATTGAGAATTGGACCGATTTTTACACCTAGACCTGACAAAAGAATTGCAACCGACCTCGATAATTTTCCATACGCAGAAAAGAACTGAAACAAAACTGATCAGTCAGTGATCACAAAACACCCGGACTCAGACTTAATGGTGGTTATGGACAGTAGAAAAATTAGAAGAGGCTGTGGGGCCAAAAAGTTTAATATATCTCTTGATTTTGAAAAAAGCAGTATAAGGCTCACGGATGTTATGGAATCAGCGTCGACTTGCACGAAATTGTTTCCTAACACGAGCCCGTGTTGATCGACGACAAGGAGGTTGTTTTGGATTGAGGATCAATCGGAACCAGAAACGGTGTTTCAAGCAGAAATGGAATAATCATGTAATCGTCCCCCTCCCCATATCAATTTAGGGGAGAGAAAATACCGGTTTTTCAGAAATTAACTTCGAAGGTCAAATAAATTGATCTAATCACTCAAAAAATCAATCGAAAACAAATAATGATTATTACTTCACTCTATTAACAGGATAAAATAGCTATTCGATAAAAAGCTTGCAGCATATTCAGCGCGCTTGTTTGAAATGATTTTTTTATGCAGAATTGAATTTCAAAATTATTACTTGCTTCGGGAGGACATTCTACGGTAGGTCAGTTAGGGGGGAGATTGTACAGTTGATCACATGATTTTTAATGCCCATTTAACCATAAGAAGGGCATTTTATTGATTTTTTACGGACGATATTTTAGTCGATTTTTTTTTTCAATATTCAAAAATCCATTATAATTGATTATAATCCATTTTTGGTTTCAAAGTAATCGATTGGTTTTTGTTCATGAAACTCATAAATGGTAACTCTTTTTTGTAAGTGTGAAGTGATTACTCTTGTAAGCAAAGTAAAGTTTTAAAGTCTGCTAAAAATGGTATTCCGCGTCGCTTCTTAGCTAATTTAGCTGAGGAGCGGGGCGGTGAAATTGCAAGGGTGACGGCTCTCAGTAGATGCATGAAGTTCATAAGCAGGTTCACGACAGTGGTGCTCCCGCCGTTATTGACGAACAGCTGGTATTTGATCCTTTTCTTCTGATATTTAAAATGTCTTCATGAATTAATTATATAATTAATTATCTTTCTGCTGATGGAATTTCGGCCGATTAACTCTCGAACAGTGGATGTATAAGCCACTTGATTGTTCCTTTTTTTCCTTTTTAGACTGTTGGACCATGATGAAAACACATGTTTCTCATAACTTGTTTCTCATAACTCATATCTTTATCGTAAATTATTTGAAAAGTTAGGTGGCAAAAACAGATGTTGACAGCATAATTCATTCAAAAGTTGTTCTTGACCGAGTTAGTTCTTTATCTTAGTAATCATCCTTGATAGTGACAAACAGGATCCCGACAGATATTCCTCCGACGGCGATGCTCCAGATCCATGAGATCCACACCATGAACGCAGCATAGGCGGTGTCTGTGTCAGCGTCGCCGACTTTGCCGAATGTTCCGGACGCCACTGCAGATCCTATGAGAACGAAGAGCACGTCCACCATGGCCAATACCATCGTCACTCCGGCGACAATCTTGTGCTGAAAGAAATGGTTAAACAGTCCATTCAGCAAAAATTACCATATTTCTTTTCAGAATTTCTTTAAAATTTTTCTGTAATATCTTTTTCAGCATGTCCATATTATATTTTTGAGTAGCGGTGTGAAGTGGTTACGTATCCGCCTCTAAGCAAACAGCCCGGGTCGAGGTGCTCGACTTAAGTTTCGACATTTTCGGCCAAAAATTGGTATGTTTCGACCTTCTCGATAAATTTCGGTAAGTTTCGACTTTCTCGGTCCAACAAAAACTTGCGACTTTGTTTGATCCAGTTCAGATATGTGTCGAGTTTCTCGACCGAAGTTCGATATGTTTCGGCTTTCTCGACTTTCTCGACCGACATTTTTTTAAAATTTGTTTGTTCGACCCCGCATAGATATGTTTCAACTTTCTTGAACAAAAATGGGTATGTTTCGACTCTCTTGAATTTCTCGACGATATAAAGTTTTTCAAATGCAATTTGATCTATCTCAGATTCGTTCCAAGTGTACGGATCCTAGGTCGGATGTTCGACAAACAGGTCGGAGGCTCGGACGCTTCCAACATGATCTGTGCTCGAGCGCTTGACGGCGAGGCAATAGTGCCCGACCCAGAAACCCAACAGCCGAATAAATTGCATGTAATACTTAAGAAAGGGTGTAACAGCTGTTCCCTAAGAAGAACTGAACAGCTAGTATATTGGTCCGTTGCCTTGTGGAAAATCGTTTTATTCTTAATCCAGTGATGAGTAAATATTTAAATGTTATACGTATTATTTAAAAGACGTTCAGACCAATTTAGCCCATCGAGTGACGTATCAGTATAGGAGCAGAGATAACGTTTACGCAGAAAAGTCAAAATGGTCACCTTGACGCAGATGTTGACATACAGCAGTATAAGGAGTGCGAACCCAAACAGGTGAGCCATAGTTGCAAATGCCCTCATGGCGATGTATGCACCCCATTTATGGCCCATAAATCGTTCTCTAAAACACAAGGGCGCGGGATCACATGATGCTCAACCACAGTAGAAAATGAAAATCGAATAGTAAGTTATTATAAAAACAGCTTATTTCAAACCAAAATATATCGAGAGGTTTCATTGCTTCAATTACCACATCAACCATCCACATTGTTTTGCCTTTTCTAAAATGTTATCTTTTTGTATTCATAAAATGTTATCGCTGATTAAGGGCGAAAAAAATGATAAGTTAGAACAAAACGATGAAATGAAGTAGGACAACAAAGACGTAAAATTGTTAACATAAATTTAAAAATGGGTGATCATTTTTCAAATTTTGGGCTTGCATCCAAATCCCACTACCTGTTATACATTTCATTTTTGAATACAATTTTGCTATTCTAAGATTAAGACAACCGCACTCACGCGAAGTCCTTGTCTATTTCTCCACAAGTCCAGTCAGACCCCAATATTTTCAAGCAGTACTGGTAAAGTCCCCCCGCGTGCTCCCCGCCTGCGCCCCTGTCCATGTACCACCAGCCGGGTACGTAGAAAAACATGGAGAAGATGAAAAAAAGAAGCTGCACGCAAACTCCCACAACTGATAGAACCCTCCGAATTGTTGTCTTGGAACCCATTGTCGATTTCTTATCGCTGTTTTTCGACTTCTTTTTGGAAAAGTTTGGTATGTTGTTGATCTCGTAAATTTGCACTGCTGAGTTCTAAAATGAATTAAAATAAAGAAATCGCGACGATTTTTTCTTTAATTATTAATGTTCCTTCCGATTTTTGCTAGGAGAACTTTGACGTAAGTAAGTCCGCCTTAAATTGAATTAAAAGTTGCCATTGTTTTGATATTTTTGTTTTGACTACGTTTTTATGAACAAGAGCCAATAATTAAAGATAATTTTTTTCTTAAAGGGAAAATATTATGGTACGAGCTATTATGGTTACGCTTTTTTGTTCAGAATGAAAGCGTGCTCAAAGTTCATCCGACACAGAAATTTGCAAATATAAAATTAATGAGCAGGTGGAAATTTCAAAATGGAAACAAAAAAGTGTTTCTACATCTAAAGCAAACATTGGCAAGCGCAGGGATTTTTTGACGGAATTTTGGGGCATTTTATCAAAAAACTTCGCCAATTTTAATTTAGGCAGTCAGTTTTCTGGCTTTGGTGTTTTCTAGCAGCATCAAAACCAAAGACATGCCCAGCTTAGCATACATTTTCTGCGCCTCCAAATTAGTGTAGAAAGGGGCCTATTGCACCTTTAAGCAATTTTAAATGTTACCCGGCCAAAAATTGTTGTTGTAAAAAAGCAATGTAGGTTATACAGTGCTGATTTAAATTATCCGGACAAAATTTTAAAAAACATGCAATTTAAGACGCGTTTTTCTCAAATTGGGTGCATTTTAGACAAAATGATGAAAACCAATCTTGCTTAAAACTTTAACAAAATTGAGATGGTGCAATTCAAGTAGCAAATTTCGGGCCCATAAATTTACAACCAAAACAATCATTTTTTGCTTTGTTCAGCAAATCAAAAGTTACTCCAAACCTAAATGTTCTTATCTAGCCCAAAAAAGTCAACAAGGCTTCAATTGGGCGTAAAAAGTTTTTAGAAATGTTTTTATTTAAAAAAACTTGGTGTTTTTTATTGTAAAACTGACCTATTTCGGATGAGCAACTTATGCCTCTTTATACCCATTAAAGTTTGTTGGGCTGCATAAGAGGCTTGTAGTGATATAGTTTTGTCAGTAAATGAGAAATCACCTTTGGAGCAGTTTTTGATTGAATTAACAAACAAAAATGATCGTTTTTGGGGCAAAGTTTTGAGCTCGAAATTTGCAAAACAAATTGCACCACATTAATGTTGTTAAAATTTCAGGCAAGATTGGTCATCATCATTTTTTAAATCTAAAATCAACCCAACTTGAGAAAAACGCGTTTTAAGTTTCACGTTTTATTCATTTTGTCCGGCTAATTTAAATCAGCTCTGTCAATTCCAATTAATTGCAATCAAAACTGTTGGTGTTTTTTTGTTAGAAACGCTAAACTAACACTTAAACATGTTTAGTGAAATTCTAGAAATAAATTGTATTAAATCCGCATTATGCTGAAAATATTTTAAATGATTCAACTCCCGATCCGATACGCGAGTCACCGAGTATTTAAAAGTTCCTAGAAGATATTTCCTAAGCGATAGCTCCGCACCTTATGGCACAGTGACAACACTCGGAAAAAATGCGAAAGAGAACACTGCTAGGGAATATATATGATTATAGAACAGAAAAACATCTGACTTCTGGTATAAACAAAATTAAAATTAGGCAGAGAAACTCAGGAAAAGCAAGAAAAAATCTTTAAAAACGAAAGTGTGTTTGTTAGTGACAATAACAAAATTCCCAATAAAAAACAAAGGAATTTTTGTTTCAAGTGCGCCACGACCTTTCGGCCGAAAACATTTCAGCCATTTGAACAATGCACCAATACTTCCGAAATTACCGAATACCAACAGCATTGCAAGTTGTTTACGCTTGCTCCGCTGCGCTCGTACTCGGCACGAGAAGAATAGTGCGGGAGAATCATTGTTTGTTGGTAATCTAGTTTGTGGCAGATGTATTAAACTAAAATTAAATAAATGTTTCTTTTTTTGATCGGCTTAAATGTCTGGCGTATTTTTGACTGAAAATTCTTAACATTAATTTGTCTGAAATGTGTGAAAACAGTTTTGTGACTCCCAATCTTTTAACTATGCATTTTTTTTTGCCGAAAATAAAAAAAATAAATCACGTTAAACTTGTTTCTATACCGTTTTTATTAACTGACAAAAGTCAATTTTAGAAACTTTGGTTTTTCCATAATTATGCATATGAAAGTTTTAGATAATGATTCTAGTGTATGCACTAAAAATAAAAACTTTCCAAACAAACTATAAAAATTAATTTCGAGCAAAAAAATCTTTGCAGACAACAAACATCAATTTTCACGAGTCAAGTCATATAGCTTTGGACGTGTTTTATGAGGGCTTTTTGTCAATATCTACAATTTTTTTGACTAACAGGAAAAACTTATGTTTCTGGTAAACTCATATAGCGGTAACTTCGGTAATCGCATGTAGTGAACAAATTTGTGAAAGCCAAGCTGTTGGTCTACGAGTTTTCATTTCTGTGCTTTTTGACAGCGGCGAAATTTTAACTTTCAAACTGGTTGTAAATACCAAGAAAGACAAAAATTTTGAAAAAATTTGAAGGAAGAAATCTCATCGTACAACTTTCTTCTAAAAAACTAACTACCTTACGTTTTTTTTGAAAAACGAGACCTTATCTTGTAACATTCTTAGAGCATACTTTTAAAAGAAATTGTAAAAAACTCATTAAAATTTTTAATAGCGATGTTTAGTCAATCTGGGACAAATTATTAGAATCAAAAAATAATTTACTTGAAAGTTTTTGGAAACCATAGCCTCGGAAAAATCAAAGTTTTAATTGAGAATTATTTTGCGCAACCTAAATTAAAAAAGATATCAAAAATAAACCCCGAAAATTCAAATTTGAGCCTGAGCAAATTTGAAGAATTTTCCTGAAAAAAAAAAGAAAGATAAAAAACAATCATCGCAACCAAAGAGTCCTAGCTCACCGACTCTAGAAAGATCTGGCGTAAACGCTCTTTGAATATTAAGATTGACATAATTTATGATTGACATTTTTCTGATAAAATTAACGCATTTTGAGAAAGTTGGATGAAAAAGTAAAAATTTACTCCGTTGAAATTTTGTAAACTATACCTACTTCGGAAATTATAAATCGATCACACGTTTTTTGTGAAATGGTTACCCTTTATGCTCAGCAGGGGTGGATTTAGGGGGCGGGAGCGGGGGGGTACGCCCTCCTCTCAGGGGTTCGATCCCGTGCCGACTCAAAGGGTCCCCCTTTTGGTACTTTTAAGAAATCCAGTTTTGGCCAACCAACCTTAAAATTTTTCTAAAGGCGCCTTTGGCGCCAATATATACTAATTTTGAGGGGGGAGCGCGCTCCGAAAAAACGCAATTTTTAAATCAAAATTTTCCAAAAGGTGCCTAAAAACGCTTTTTTGGCCTGTTTCTTTTTCAAAATTCTGCCTGCGACGCAGAAAATGTGGCCAAAATAGAGACAAAACAGTGCTTTGAGAGAGCTCAAAAAATCAATTTGGTCGACCTAAAAAAAGTTTTGAAAATCCGCCCCCCCCCCCCCCCCCTCAAGAAAATCCTAGATCCGCCCCTGATGCTCAGGAGCGAATTTTGTCTTCTTTTGATCAAAAGAAAAGAGCTGAACTTGAAAAAAAAATCAATAGTCAAACTTGATTTTCTTGTTCCTCTTCTTGTTCCAAATTTGATTTTCTGGAACAATGTTCTTCTTGTTCCTCGAATACTAATGAAAAACATTTGTTTTGTTGACACTATTAGATTTTGTCGTTAATTTTCTCATTATCTAAACATAATTTCAATCCTTTTTGTTATTCAGAAAAAGTTGGAGACTACTTTGTTCAGCTTGAGAACAATGAAATAACTGAATTAGAAATAAGTACGTTTGGGCAAAATTTTTTTCCTAGATTCTTTTCCCTCAATGCTTTGAGATATCTTGTTTAGCTTCGGGGTTTCCCGATTTTGTCTGGATTGTGTAGACTGGTTTTGGCTCGGCTTACGATTAATAACTTTTTGGGGAAACGAACTGAAATTTCGGGGTAAAATCAAAGAGATAGGTTTATTGCAGTCTGTAGGGCTTTGCAATTGTAGGGATTCCTCATTTGGTCTAGTGTATTTTCTTAATTTTTCAAAACTATTTCAATGGGTAGTTATCAATCAATTGCGACAACCGTTGCGCCAACCGCATGAATCAATGGCTCATTCATTATTGAACAACTCCTGACCTTTTTTATATAATTTTTCGGTAATTTTCATAGCTTACATCGGCTTATTCTCATTGTTTACTTTGAATGAGGCACCTTGAAAATTTTCTGATTATCCAATTATTCGAAAACTTCTGGTCTTGAAAAATTTTTTCAATGATGATACGAAATTTCCACAGCAGGAAAAACGAAATTCCGATGATTCAAAAGTTGTTTTGCTTTTTCAATGCGTTATTATTTGCCAACAGCTAGAAAAAACACCATTGTTTCAAGTTTTTTTAAAACTAACTTTTGCTTTTTTTGTTTCTGCTCATTAATCTCGACTCCATAGGGATGCTATGATTCTGGTGGCTTTTCCCATACGATTTCAAGTTCAATTTTTTAAACAAAAAAGAACCTATGTTCCTGACTACATTTTTTCCGTAGCTTTGAGCAACTTGTATAACACTCATAGCGGAAAATATGGACATGTGAACTGGGATCCTTTCCATTATTTGAGATCCCTTTAAACTGGGATCCAAGTTAATAAGGTATCCATTCCATTATTTGAGCTAGGTGTCGGGCCATATTCAGCTTCAATTCAAAATTTAAAAAATATATAGATTCCGTTTTTTTTCTAAAGTAACCCGTCATAACATAAATAGCAATGTTGTCAATTACTAAACATCTGGTTATTTTTTTTGTTTTTGCTTATTCAATTTAATTATTTGATTTTTAAAATAATGCTCTGATTGATTGTAATGAGCGTTTTTTACCAAGTAAACAAAACAAAGCGTGAAACTTTTTTTTGCAATTTTTGAATTTATTCACGCCTGAAAATTTTACTTTTTATTGGTTGTCGCGCATTGGTATCAATCAAAGCATAAATCAATTAAATAAAAATAGCCAAAATCATTAAATTAAATTGATAGAAGCAATGAACCAAAAAATAACGCCTAATTATTATTGGTTTTGGCTATTTTTTGGTTTTTGCTTATATCAATTTTTTAAAACGATTTCAATTATTTTTTATTCAATCGATGTATGCTTTGATTGATTGTAAGGAGCGTTTTTTACCAAGCAAGCAAAACAACAAGGCGTGAAAGGCGCGA